AAAAAAAAAAAAAAAGCTGGGTGTGGCAGTGTGCACCTGTAGTCCCAGCTACTCGGGAGGCTGAGGCAGAAGAATTGCTTGAACCCAGGAGGCTGAGGTTGCAGTGAGCCAAGATCACGCCACTGCACTCCAGCCTGGTGACAGAGCGAGATTGTCTCAAAAAATAAAAATAAAAAATAAAAAGGGGGAAAGAAAACTACTAATTTTCAGTAAAAAAACAAAAACTGTAACACTTACCATAGTCTGAATATGCTTTTAAGTTTTATAGTTTCAGCTATCTCATTCCAATTTGTACTAAATACCATTTGTCGTTAATCCGAAAGGCAAAATAAGTCAGATCTATTTAATTCTGACATTAAAAAGAAAACAAAAAGCTTTTAATCTTACTTAAAACACGCTTACATGTTGCTAATACCCAGTATTTCTAGAAGTCTAGGGAAAAGGGCATTCTCAAACACTATTTAGACAGGCCCAATCACTTTGGAGGAAAGTCTGGCAATGAGATACAGACACACAAGTAAGCAAAGATATACGTCTTTATCACAGGATTTGTCTTTTCTGGACAGAAATGAAACAGAAATATCCAAAATGTTCATAAAGTACAGAACTGTTAAACCACGGTAAAGTCACACAATGAAATTTAATGCAGAATTTAGAAGAATAAGGTAGCTGCCAGATACTGTGGCTCACACCTATAATCCCAGAGAATTGAGAGGCTGAGGTGGGAGAATTACTTGAGGCCAGGAGTTTGAGACCAGCCTGAGCAGTATAGCAAGACCTTGTCTCTAAAGAAAAGAATTTTTAAAAAATTATCCAGGTATGGTGCCACGTATAGTCCTAGCTACATGGGACGCTGGGGCAGAAGGATCACTTGAGCCCAGGAGTTCAAGGCTGCAGTGACTGTGCCACTGCACTCCAACTACAAAAAAAAAAAATTAGGTAGAAAGGTAGAAAAAATGTCCATAGTAAACAGTGTGTATAGGCATAGAAAAAGTTGTAACAAAAAGAGAATCTGTAGGTAAACTGAGGGTTACTAGCATAACTTTTTAGGGAAGAATCCCCTAAACTCAAAACTTGTAAGTTAAAATCCTTAAGCTCCAAAATTTAATTAATACCTTACCTGTTATCACTGCTTTTAGACGTCTGGTTATTGAGAATACTCTGCTGTTGGGGAGCAGAACCTGTAATTTAATCAAGAAGGTGGGTTATGTATTGAGTTTTATATTAGTTTTCCATCTAATGGATAAAATCATTATGAAGAAAAAAAAACCTTCAATGCATTAAATGACTTATTTTTAATAAAGACCATCTGATAAAATTAGAACCTCCTTCCTAGATACTATTCTTCAGACAAAAGGCAGAAAGGCTGTCCCATACTCAGACCACAAAGCTGCAAAGAGATGTAACGGTAGATTAGTTTGTCTCTAATTTAACTAACAATTATTAGGACCGAATAATAACGAAATTGTTTCAATGCCTGCATAATTATACAATCCCTAAGTAGAAATAAATGAAAACATTTTCTTGCTGAAAAAAAAAAGACGCCGGGCACAGTGGCTCACATCTGTAATCCCAGCACTTTGGGAGGGCAAGGCAGGCAGATCACCTGAGGTCAGGAGTTCGAGACCAGTCTGCCCAACATGGGGAAACCCTGTCTCTACTAAAGATACAAAATAAGCTGGGCGTGGTGATGTGTGCCTGTAATCCCAGCTGCGTGGGAGGCTGAGGCAGGAAAACTGCTCGAACCTGGGAGGCAGAGGTTGCAGTGAGCCAAGATCACGCCACTGCACTCCAGCCTGGGAGACAGAGTGAGATTTCGCCTCAGGAGAAAAAAAAAAAAAAAAAAGATGGTCTCTGGAATTTTAGTCAAAATAATAAATAAAGGCAATAAGCAATCCATTTTATTTTCTAATGAATAAATGCATTTCTCATATTTATATTACATTCTCTCTTCCCCAACTCAGAGAAAAAGTTAAATCATGTCAGTAATTATCCAAACTCAACATTTTGCTTCATATATACCTTTCCTTTAACAGAGAAACAATAGGAATTAAGAGATTTATTTTCTATACCCTCTGCTGTCTCATCCAACATAAGTGAGCAAATCCTCACCCAAAAGTTCAAATTATTATTTTTTTTTTAGTTTTTTGTTTTTGAGACAGTCTCGCTCCATCACCCAGGGTGGAATGCAGTGGTGCAATCTTGGCTCACCTTTGCCTCCCAAGTTCAAGCAATTCTCCTGACTCAGCCTCTCAAATAGCTGAGATTCCAGGCATACACCACCACGCCTGGCTAATACTTTTTGTATTTTTAGTAAACAGAGACGGGGGTCTCACCACATTGGCCAGGCTGGTCTTGAACTCCAGGTCTTAAGTGATCTGCCCACCTTGGCCTCCCAAAGTGCTGAGATTACAGGTGTGAGCCACCACGCCCACCCCCAAATAATGTATTATAAAAAAGAGTTCACAAGGTTCCAAAACTAAGGCTTTTATACAAGTGGACAATTTGTAGCATTTATTAAATCCTTAGTTTAGACACAGGATCATTCAGATGGAAAACTAAGTAAATAAGGGTTAAAGATAAGAACCTGAAATGGTAGAGCACAAATAATAAAATACTTAAGAAATAAGCTGCTACCACTATTTTATGCAATTCATTAAGGAACACTTCTCAAGAAAGTCAGTCACAAATAAAAGTTAACTTTAAAAAAAGAACTTTGGTAGGGAGTCAAAGGGTAGTACTTAGGTACTTTAAACAAACCAATCAACAGAAGTAATTCTGAAACAATGGGTGATAGTCATGATAATCACATATATGAAAAATATAGCAATGGTTAAAACGAATGTCACAACCCTATTTGGTATATAACATTTTCTGTAATACTGACAAAAACGTCACTGAAGACTATGAAATCCAAATAATATTTCCAAAGTATTACCTGGAAATTTATTCTCTCCTGTATCAATTTTTGCTTGACTGAGCAGAGTTGAAACAGCAGTAACATTTTCCACTGGACTGTTTTCTAGCTTGGATTCCAAACATTGGCTGAAATTCTGAACACACATAATTCAAAATTTTTACATCAACTTTGCGTTTTATCTAAACACACTTTCAGTAAATTTTAGCATACTAAAAAAATTTAAGATACTTTTTATTTGGAGTAATTCATATAGACATGAAGTCTCCCCATGATCTTGCTACAAGCTACCCTCTCAGCATCAGAGCCCATTATTACCCTTCATGCTAAATTTAAAAACAAGGTACAGCAGTGCATGCCTGTTGTCCCAGCTATTAAGAAGGCTCACTAAGAGGGGAGGATCACTTAGGCCCAGGGGTTTGAAGCCAGCCTGGACAACATAGTGAGACCCTATCTCAAAAAAAGGAAATACCTCTCCCACATATATATTCAATAGTTTCCTGGCTCTATACCTTTTTTCCAAATTTTGTCTGTCTAGACTATAATGTCCAATATGGTCATCACTCCCACGTCTAACTAGTGAGCACTTAAAATGTGGTATCACTTGAGATGTGCTGACAGCATAAATCACACCAGATTTTGAAAACTTAAGCACCCAGCCGGGCACAGTGGCTCATGCCTGTAATCCCAGCACTTTGGGAGGTCGGGGTGGGTGGATCACTTGAGGTCATGAGTTCGAGACCAGCCTGACCAACAGTGACCAACAGTGAAACCTCGTCTCTACTAAAAATACAAAAATTAGCTGGGCATGATGGCAGGCACGCGTAATCTCAGCTGCTCGGGAGGCTGAGGCAGGAGAACCACTTGAACCCGGGAGGCAGAGGTTGCAGTGAGCCAGGATAATGCCACTGCACTCCAGACTGGGCGACAAAGTTAGACTCCATCTCCAAAAAAAAAAAAAACAGACAGGTTAAATAAAAGATACTAAAATCAATTTGATCTATTTCTCTTTACTCCATTAATGTGGCTACCAGATAATTTTAAATTATCTGGTATGTGGCTCACTTATATTCCTACTGGATAGTGTTGATCCAGATTACCTTTCCCCCTGTATAAATTCAACTCATTGCTCCTCTTCCATAAAGCCTTTCCCAGTCTTCTCTACCTGTTCTTCATCTACTTTGTCTAAATCTCTTCCATGTGCTTATCACTTTTTATTTTCAATCAGTGATTTGTGTCTGACTTACCTATAAATCTTAAAAGCAACAACCATATTATATTTACCTTTTTATTCCCAATAGCCTCTAATTCAGAACCTTGCCAAAGCAGATACTCAATTAGTAAATAACAAAAGAAAATGCTTCAGGCCGGGCATGGTGGCTCACGCCTGTAATCCCAGCACTTTTGGGAGGCCGAGGCGGATGGATTATGAGGTCAAGGGATCGAGACCATCCTGGCCAACATGGTGAGACTCTGTCTCTACTAAAAATACCAAAAAATTAGCTGAGCATGGGGCTGGGTATGGTGGCTCACGCCTGTAATCCCAGCACTTTGGGAGGCCCAGGCAGGCGGATCACCTGAGGCCAGGAGTTCGAGGCCAGCCTTGCCAACACGGTGAAACCCCATCTCTACTAAAAATACAAAAATAAGCATGGTGGCAGGCGTCTGTAATCCCAGCTACTCGGGAGACTGAGGCAGGAGAATCACTTCAACCCGAGAAGCAGAGGTTGCAGTGAGCTGAGATCACGTCACTGCACTCCAGCCTGGGAGACAAGAGTGAGACTTCATCTCAAAAAAAA